AAAATCACACATTTGCCATGTTTAGTAGTTGACGCATAAACTCGAAAGAGTGTGTTTTTAAATGGAATTCCAAGGTACCTAGCAAAAAAGAAATTATAGAAGTAAAAGAAAAAAAAAACTTACATTGTAGCCATCATGCTTTCTTCATTTTTATTATTATTGAATTGTTCAGTGAGCACAGGGTTTAGGGTCACCTCTACATTATCTTGCTTACCCATAATCAGATTGCTTTAGTCCACTCCATGATCCAAGTCTAGTAAGCCTCATTTAGGCTTACTCCCACTTTAGAACCACTACTTTGTAGAGGGAGCATTTCAAGAATTTTTAAATGGAAATTAATTTGTGTAATTGCAACTGTACAATAAAAAAAATTAGAAATGATAGAAAGTACTAAGCATATACTTGTGGAATCACTTCCACTTCTTGCTATGAAATTGAAAAACCTTTCCAGCCACTCTATCCTAAAGTCACTAAAAGGCCTTACATGCAAACAATGTTCTACATTACATTGCAACAAAATAAACAATTCTTATTAATGATAGTTATTAAAAGTCCTTTGCCAACTCTCCCTAGTCAATATATCTTTTAGAATAGTTCCTCTATTTCCTCCTTACCCTTCTCTTTGTCATTGGGATCTAGCTCGGCATTAAGTTCCACATTTGGCTCGTCACCTTCATGGTTTGCATTCTTGTTTGGGTCCTCGTTCTCATTTGCATCCGGGGGCTCTTCATTCTTAGTCGTATCTAGGTTTGGGTCACCGTTCTTAATCATATTATTGCCATCACCACTTGGGTTCATAACATCCTTTGGCTCCCCCTTTTTGTTCACATGTGGACTCCTTGATGTTGTTAGCATCCTCTCGCTCCCCGTTTTCAGCTTTATTGTCACTCTCATCTTTAATATTGTGCTTGGAGAACAAAATCACACATTTGCCATGTGTAGTAGTTGACGCATAAACTCGAAAGAGTGTGTTTTTAAATGGAATTCCAAGGTACCTAGCAAAAAAGAAATTATAGAAGTAAAAGAAAAAAAAAACTTACATTGCAGCCATCATGCTTTCTTCATTTTTATTATTGTTGAATTGTTGAAAGCTTGCAAGATGATGTCAAATCCCTTTTTCATGATATTATATCTATAATTTTTCCTATCACAAATCATTTTTCCTCTCCACATAACCACTAACAAACAATAATGAACATAATCTTGCACAACAATAAACAATACTAGCAATACACTATACAATGCAAAAAATGAAACAAGAATGAGCATGGTGATGCATAGCCATGAGCAATGCTAGTGATGCACTATATGATGTGAGGAATGAAACAAAGATAAGCATGGCAAGGCACAACAATGAAAAATGTTGGCAATATGCTATGTGATGAAGAATGCTAATTGTAAAAAGAGATTACACACAATCCATGTTTAATATGCCCGATGCAGATGCAAATGTGGATGTGTGTGCACTAGATTGATGCAGATGGAAATGTGGATGCTTGTGTAATGAATTGCAGTGGTGAGACTTATTTGGCACTTGATCAACTTTTTAAGAATGTTATGATATTGGCATCTAGAGAATCATTCTTGTTAAACCTTTGCCAAAAATATTGGTGCTTTGGGATTTTGATATGAAGGGAAAAAATATTTTAAGATATTCTTTGCCTTAGGACGAGTTGCCAAAGTGAGAATGCATATCAATTGAAGTGAAGGAATCATTAGTGAATCATTCAATGCCTCTCCAAACGTTGCCCTCTCAGCGTAAGCTACCATTGCTGCTGGCTTGCCAATTCTAGGTTGATGAAATCTATTGTGATCTTGATAGAAGCTGGGGATTTTCATCACAAGCTCGATCCCATCTAGAAGATGGGGATCATCATAACACCAGCAGTAGGAAGCTAACAATTGCATCTTTAGCAAGATCATCCATGGCTATGCCTTGGCATCCAAGGTACTATGATCTCTCATGGATCCATGTTCTTTATAGATTTTCTTTTATTTTCTCTTTGGCAGCTCTATGAGGACAGCATTCTCAACATAAATCCACTGTGCGTGGTTCAAGAATCTCAAATTGGTTAGTATATTCTCTTCAATAAAAAGATTACCCCATCTATATAAATACCCTAACTACTCTTATGTAAAAAGAAGCGAATAATAAAGGCCCCAAAACAGTTAATAAACCTGATGAATCATCGGATTGACTACGCGCAAACTCTAGAACAAAGCCAAAGAAAAGATCACCACCGCCATGACCGTCGTCTTCCCGGCGAGGAATGGCACTGCCGCAGCTTTGACACTGCTCTTAGCAGCAGTCACCGCCGCGGGTTTCTTCCTGCCCGAGCCCCTCCCATCATCGCCCATCCGACGGTAGCGCTCGCAAACCTTGGTACACCGATCGTGCTCGTGGAACCGGCAAGCCGCGCAGCTCGAGCACTCCGTGTCCCGGCTCTGGCCGCAAGCGGCCGCCTCGTAGAACCCATCGCCGCACGTAGCGCAAGGCGAGCAGATCTTACACCCGGTGGTCGCCGCGGTCTCCGTGAGATTGTCCCCAGCCACCACCACCAGAGGCGCGAGCTCAAACTGAGTGGATCGGCACGACGAGCTCTCCACGCACACCCCCTGGCTCGCGTTGAATCCCAGGTCGGGCGGCGCCGCCACTTGATTCCCCCAGCACTCCACGCCTCCGTGATCATCCCGATCCAGCCTCACGCCGCAAGTGTATCGATCCCCGGCGGTGATGAGCGAGAAGGCCACGCCCGCGGGAGCGCTCGACTGGCCGACCGAATCGTCCCCCCAGCACTGCGCCGAGTGGTTGTCGAGCCGGATGCCGCAAGTGTGGAACATCCCCGCGGAGATGGCCGAGAAGGCCACCCCCTCCGGCGGCGAGCACTGGCCGTGATCGTTGGCGCCCCAGCACAGCGCGCGGTGGTCCTTCCGGAGGATGCCACAGACGTGTGTCCGCCCCGCCGCGATGGTGTCGAAGAGGCTGCGCTGGTTGAAGCGGTTGCGCTGGGCGGAATCGTTGTGGTCGCCGGACATCTGGCCCCAGCACACGACCCGGCCCGTGTACTGCGTGAGGCCGCACGAGAAGTAGTCGCCTGCGGTGATGCTGCGCATGGGGATGGTGATCGGGGGCGAGCACTGGCCGAAATCGTTGTTGCCCCAGCAGTCCACCCGGCCCTCGTCGCCCGGGAGGATGCTCTTGTCCCGGATTGCGCAGACGTGCCAGCCGCCGCAGTTGATGGTGGAGTAGCGGACGCTCTGGAAGGCCGCGGGGACGATGCTGCCCGGGGTCTGGCCCCAACACACGGGGTTGTGGCCGTCGAGCGTGAGGCCGCAAGCGAAGTATGCGCCGCCGGTGAGCGACCAGAGCGAGATGTTGGCGGGCGGGATGGAGGCGTTGTTGATCGCGAATGTGCCCCAGCAGCGTGGATTGCCGGAGCTCGCGTCGATGCCACAGACGGAGAAGCTCTTGACCGGGGAGGAGCCGGATCCCCACAGCGCCGCCATGGTGCTCATGTAGCCGAATGCATGTGCCGCGGAGACGATCGAGAGAAAGATCGCGATCAGGCGCAGGAGGCGGTTGCTGCCGTCGAGATCCATCGCGAGACACCCTGGGAATGGCGAGAGCGGGATCGAATGGTCAAAATCCGCAAGAAATCCATCAAGATCGAGGCGATTCTAGAGCGGGAGCGATCAAGATCCAGAGAAGACGCAAGAAAGATTCACGCGAAGCATGGAATCGGCAAAGGAGAGCAACGATCAAGTGCCGATGCGATCAAATCGTAGAAAGATCCAGAGGAGAGGCAAGAAAGATTCAATCGAGCAAGGACGCGATCAAGATCCCGAAAAGAGGCAAGAGGAATCCATAATATCACAGGCAGAGCACCGGAGAAGCAGCGATTGACAGGAAAGAACACGCATTGGCTTACCTCGAGCTCCCAGCGATCGCGAACGAACTGGGGCAAAATATTCGGAGAGAATCAATTTATACCACGGCCACTTTACACGTGGCACTCACGCTCCACGTAAGCATTAGGGCAGACTCGAATATCCGGTTAACGTTGACGAATATCCGTTCTAGGCCTGGGGTTGAAAATGGGGCTCGTGGCGAGCAGCAGTAGCGGCAGCATGGCGGAAGCGAAGAAAGAATCGGCGGAATCGACGAAAGGAACGGCGATGGCGAAGGCAAAGGATCTTGTCGCCAGCAATCCCGTCATGGTTTTCAGGTTCGATCGAATCGAGCGGCCGATCAATCGATTTTGGTTTCATTCTTTTCTTGTGGCAGCAAAAGCTATTGCCCATATTGCGTGAGCGTGAAGAAGCTCCTCGCTAGCCTGGGAGCCAAATTCACCGCGCTGGAGCTCAATGCCGAGAGTAATCTCTAGAAATTTTTTCTTTCTCGCGACTGATCGATTGATTCTCTTTTGGTTTCTAGAGGATGGGGCGGAGATTCAAGCTGCCCTAGCCGAGTGGACCGGCCAGCGCACTGTTCCTAGCGTCTTTATTGGCGGCAAGCATATCGGTGGCTGTGATGGTAAGTTAAAAAGAACTCTAGTTTAAATTCTTGGCGCGTAGCGCTAACGCATCGGCCACTCTTTGTAGACACCACAGCCACTCATCGCAAGGGACAATTGGTTCCTTTGCTCCAAGAGGTTGGAAGCGTGGCGAAAATGTGACGAAGCATTCACTTTTTCTCACTAATGAAAAAACTATTGCGGTGAGCGTGGATTCAACACGCGATCTATCCCTGCTTAAGCTTGTAATCAAGTTCTTAGCGCCAAAATTTAGTCGAGTTTTCTTCGAAGGCACTCTTGCGGTGAGCGTGGATCGAACACGCGACCTTCAGATCGTCAGTGACGCTTCCGAGCTGATCTATCCCCGCTTAAGCTTGTAATCAAGTTCTTAGCGCCAAAATTTAGTCGAGTTTTCTTCGAAGCCACTCTTGCGTGGATCGAACACGCGGCCTTCAGAACTTCAGTGATGCTCTCCGAGCTGATCTATCCCCGCTTAAGCCCCTTAATGCAGTTCTTATTAACGCCAAGATTTAGTCGAGTTTTTCTTCCAAGCCAGCGCTAGCACAGACTTCCACAGCCGCTTGGTCTTTCGCCCTTTAGATTTCTCCAGCTTAAGAACTTTGCTTTCACTGTCCGAGATATCACTTTTGCTATGAAAGCTTGATCTTTCGTTGGAGCCACTGCTGCTGCTACTATTGGCCCTGGCTCCCTTGTACATGATCCGGCAGCAAATGTGTGACACCAGGAAGAGACGGAGAACAGCTCGGGCTTCTTCCGGATCTTCCACCAGTGGCTGCTGCTCCGCAGCTAGAGCCGGAACGACAAAGTCGAGCAGCATGGAGCCGACTTGTTCTGCCGTGTTGCCATGCTCGTCCATGAGCGTCACCGCGAAAGTCATGAGCATATCCCAGAAGCTAGCAGCATCGTTGTCCTGGAAAGCTTCTAGTCTCTCCACAGTGTCTGTGTTCTTGAGTAAGACCACGAGGAATCCAGCCGGGAGTAGCCTCTCGGGAGGATAAGCTCTTACGAGCTCGCGAATGGCGGCACAGCACAGCCCCGCCCTGGAGTGATCGGACGAGCTCAGCATCTTGAAGAGCCGTTTCTGGCTCTCCCGTGCCGCGGCGATGAGCGTGTAGACCGAGCTCTGAGTGGTAGTCGTCCAGCTTCCGTCGAGAAGGAGCTCGTCCTCCCAGAAGTTGAGCGTGTTGATGAGCGTGCACAGCATGGAGAGCTTCTCCATGGATGTAAGCCGGCCGAGAGCTAGGAGCTCCTCGCTGGGAGGCTGGAAGTCAAGAGCAGCATCGTTGTTGTGCTTGGAATGGTGACGATCATCTTCGACGTGCTCGACCTCGATTTGGTTTTCTCCTGTTCTCGGAGTTTCATGCTGGAGAAGCTCATCCGTTACGAGAGCGTTGAGGGCATCCGAGTCCGTCTCCGAGGGGCTTGTAGAAGAGGATGCCCGATCGCTCGAACTTCGTTTGTGATCTTCATCTTTCTTAGCGTCTTCTTCTAAAGCAGCAAGCCCGGCTTGTGGAGGATCCTCCTCCTCAGAGAAGAGTGAATCTACTCACGAAAGAAACACCATGATCAGTTGACCAGAAGAACAAAAACCAAGAACGAATACCATTTTCTTCTGTTTTAGTGTTCGTTGTTGTCTGATCTTAACTGATAGTAGCATTCGATTTTTCCAGCCCTCGCACGAAATCGCTTCTACCAACTGGTCTAGATGGAAGCCGGGGTGTGAAAGAAGTAGCCGACGCTTTGCATTTAGCCAAAGAAAATGCGCTGGTCTCGCTGGTATCAAGGCTAGCTTTAGTCGACCAAATGTACCGAATGAAAAGAAAGTAAGAACATACCTGTGAGCCGAGGCAGTGTCCGATACCAAACGATCACCATCCACATTTCCATTTCCACCCTGCGCAGCAACCTATAATCCAATAATGATCGAAGAAAACAAGCTCACCTGGAAGAGATTCATTCCATTCGCGATTCTGAGTAGCAAATTCGAGCTCATCTCTTGCAGAGCCTTGACGCTGCTCTGATCGTCCTTGAGCTGCAAGCACAATCTCCCAAAGTAGCCTCCAGCGTCCGTGGTTTGCTGATTGAGCAGCTTCCTTGTGTTCTCAAAGAGCTCCCGGGATTGCCTCCTGTGACAAGAGAATTCTCAATCGATTCTATGCCGCTGGAGCGCAGTACTCACAGATTGGCCAGTCGCTGCTGGAAGAAGCGATCGTCCTCCTCCGCCATTCTCCCCTCTTGTTGGATGTAAGGAGCCCTAAATAAACCTAGAGTTTCTTCATGGGAGTTCATGGATTATGGGAGCTCTTGGCGCCAGTGGGGCGGCGCGTGTCGGTGGAGCTCCTCGGCAACAAGAAGCTGGCGATCGGTGAGATTCTTGTGATTCGCGAGCTTGGGATTTCTCTCCAGCTGTTACAAGTCTTCATCTCTTTTTTTCTAGATGCCAGCATTTGGATCATCCAGTTTCTCAAGGCTATGCGCGATGATCGTGGAGAAGTGATGCGCAATGCGCACCTCCTGGGATTCTTTCGCCGGATTTGCAAGCTCTTGTTCCTCCGCGTCAAGCCTGTGTTTGTCTTCGATGGTGGCACGCCATTCTTGAAGAGGAGGACTGTGATTGCGAGGAGAAGGCAGCGAGAGCAAGCACAGTCGAAAATCCGCAAGACGGCTGAGAAGCTACTGCTGAATCACGTACGTGTGTGAGTTTCATTCTCAGCGTCTCTGACTCTCTTGTTTCATTTTTTCTTGTTGCAGCTAAAAGCAAAGAAGCTCGAGGAACTCGTTCGTGAGGAGCAACCAAATGCTCCAGACCAAGCACGAGCAAATGGAGAAATTCCTTCGAGCTCTTCTCAAGCCAAAACTTCTTCTGACCAAGAAAATGCCGACGCATTGTAAGTTTCCAGTGATTGATGTTCTTGTTTTCTATCGTGGTTTTCATTTTTGTTTCATCTCAGGTTGGCAGCTTCTTTAGCAAAAGAGTGGGAGGAAGATGGTGCCATAGACTTGGATTCTGGCTCCGAGGAACAACAACAAATACTCGTAAATCCAACGGCCCTTTAGATCTGTGAGTTTGCTGATCATCATAGTCAGTGTCTATCAGTTCATGTTGATATTTCCATAGCTGTTGTGTTTGTCTTGCCTAGATCGTCGCTGGCTTCCTTCTTACTTTGGTTTGGAAATTCGTTCTGATCTCGTTATTCTTGTTTTCGGCAGCCTGTGGTTAACGGAAAAGTTGATCCCGAAGTTCTTGCGTCGCTACCGCCATCCATGCAACTTCAACTCTTTGACGAGGTTCGGATCTATATTGTTGCGTGTACGCTCGTTAATCTTACCTTCGCAGATGAGGGAGCAACTTGTTGCAGAAAATCGACAGAAGTTTGAGAAAGTTGCGAAGGTGTGTAAGATTTGACATTCTGTAGTGTGCTAACGATATTTTTTTTCAGGCACCTTCTTCGTTTTCAAAACTTCAGATTGAGGCTTACTTAAAAACAGTAGCCTTTCGCCGGGATATCAATCTCGTGCAAAAAGCGGCTGCGAACATAAGTAAAGATGGTGTTCCAAGCGTTCGAATTGCTTCAGAAGCCAATCGCGAGTATATTTTCTCGACGGAAGCTGGAAAGAAAAAGTATGTCATGTTTTATTCTCATTTTCCTAATAGCCCTTTGCCTTTTGTGGCAGGAGCCAAGATGGGGTGCAAAATGTCGAAGAGACTACTGCGAAGCAGATGTCTAAAGACATAGAAGAAAGGGGAGCAGCAGATAGGAGCACTGTTCAGACATATCTCGATAGTAAAGGGAGAAAACGAGTTAGCAGGATCAGGGGAATGGGTGTTCGGATGACTCGTGATTTACAGTGGAACTTATATCTTATGAAAGACAAGGCATCTCAAAGTAAAGAAGACGAAGCAATAGAACTTCCAGCAGACGACGAGAGCTACGCATTTGAAAAACTGGTTTCTGAAGATCAAATAGCTGTTGAAGAAGATGGTGACGAAACCAATGTTTCAGCTGGGCAGACTAATAGTACAGGAATGAGGGTCTCGTTCGTCGATGATGGCAGCCTCCAGCCTGACGAGCTTTTTGCAAGGTTGGTTTCGGAAAGCCAGCCGGATGAAATTGAATGGGAGGAAGATTACGGAAGTGATGCACGAATATCTTCCGCCAAAGAAGCTCAAGATGAAGCAGGATCTGGCAGTCTTTCTCGTTTTCAAAGAAATGACGTGATTACTGAGACAGGGGCTCAGAACTTCCAGGTTTCGTTTGTGGACGATGGCAACCTTGAGGTTGACGAGACATTTCAAACTTTGGCTCGTGGTCAAGAGGACGAAGAGATCGACTGGGAAGACGACGGGCACGAGGTGGTGTCAGTCTGTGAACCTGATGCTCGGAAACAGTCTAAGATGATCGGTATTGGAGATTCTGCTTTGAAAACTACCGGTGTCATGGAATTAAACGGGAACAAACAAGCTGAAATTCAAGCAGGTTCTACTGTTCTCAATCAAGGTGAAAGATACGAGCGTACGAAAGACATGCAGGCTGATAGTCACCCTCCTCAAGCTGATAAAGTCCTGCCTGACGCTGAAAAAGTTGAATGGGAGGAAGATGATAATGTCGCACAAAATATTTCCGAGAACACTTCGCTAGTGGACGTTGGCGAGCCAGACGCCACGAAAAGTGAAGAAAACCATCCGCTGGTTTCAAAACCGGACGATGACAAAGGCACTGGAGGGGAAGAAGTTGCACGGAACGTTTCTCCTGGTAAATTGATTGAGCAAAAACCGGACAACGAGGACTCATGCAACATTGAGCATGGAAAGCTTACTGGAGTATCCGACGAACAAGCTCAGATTGAAGAAGCAATTCGTCGAAGCCTAGTGGACTTTGGCCTTCAGAAAGCTTTTAAGCCTCTTACCATACAAGAGCCAGACTCTGTGAAGCATGGTGCAGTTCAGGACATTGAAGAATCTGAGCGCTCACGTAAAGGAAAGGCAGTGCTCGACAACACATTGGAAAAACAAGCTAATGAGTTGGAAAACACTGAAGTAGTCCATGATTTGGATCAAAGCAGGAAGGCAACGATGATAACAGAGGATGAAGAACGGTTTCTCGATGCTGAGGACAGAGCTGCTCGGCACGCACGGATCAACGAGGAAAGGGAAAACTTGCTACAAGAAGAAGCGGAGCTTCGAGCAGAGAAAAAGAGAAACGAACGTAATGCGGAGACGGTTACAAATGAAATGTTTGCCGAGTGCCAGGTAGCTTGTTTCATATGGGAACTAACTCTTATTCTTATTACGTAGGAACTACTTCAACTGTTTGGGATCCCGTATGTGGTAGCACCCATGGAAGCTGAAGCACAATGTGCCTTCATGGATGCAGAAGATCTCGTCGATGGTGTGATTACGGATGATTCGGACGTGTTTCTTTTTGGAGGCCGCAGTGTCTACAAGAACATATTCGATGGCCACAAATACGTCGAAACTTACTACATGAAGGTAAGCTGCCCATTTACTAATTTTTGTGACTCGTTTACTTTTATAGGATGCAGAGTCTGATCTCGGTTTGAATCGAGATAAGCTGATACGGATGGCCATGCTACTTGGCAGTGATTATACCGAAGGAATAAGGTAATATCAATCCGTCAAGTAGTTTTTCTCTCGCGTCAACATTTCTGTGTTTCAGTGGTATAGGAATTGTGAATGCCATCGAGGTTGTGAATGCCTTTCCTGAAGAGGATGGGCTGCAAAAGCTTAGAGACTGGATAGAGTCTCCGGACCTTATGCTCCTTGACAAGGCCCAGGGTGTATCTCGGAAATCGACCAAGAAATCGCAAGATAATCTCGATGGGAGTGATGACGCTGGCGTGCAGCTTGACAAGAGAAAAGAAATATTTATGCACAAACACGTAAGTTTTCTTGCTTTCTTTCGTAAGCAGCATTTCGGTCTTGTTCGTTTAGCGTGCAGTAAGCAAGAACTGGACGATCCCTTCTTCTTTTCCCAGCAAAGCTGTAGTTGAGGCGTATGAATGTCCTCAAGTAGACAAGTCGAAGGAAACCTTTTCGTGGGGTCGCCCTGACCTCGACTTACTTCGGAAGTAAGATATCACGCAATCTTACAACTGGCTTAATGTTTTTAACGTGACACAGGTTTTGCTTTGAAAAATTCGGATGGACAAAGGAAAAAGCCGATGAACTTCTAGTTCCAGTTCTGAAAGAGTACGATCGTCATGAGGTAAGATCGTACCTATACTTGGCTTGTAATTGCAATATCTTTGATTGCAGACGCAACTACGAATCGATGCGTTCTACAGCTTCAACCAGCGATTCGCGAAGATCCGAAGCAGCAGGATTCAGAAAGCCGTCTCTGGGATAACGGGGCAAACACTGCCGGAGATGATTTATGGTGCCATTCCAGCCACGAAGAAGACAAGGAGGATAAAACCATCGGACGAAAACTCTGCTCCGAAGCCAAGGAAGAGAAAAGCGACAGCTGCTGGGAAAAAAACTGAAGCAGCTCAAAGGACGCCGAGAAAACGTCAAGCAAGAGCCAAAGGTGGAGCCGCAAAGGATACAGAGGCGCAGGTTCCGGAAATCACAACACCCGCAGAACGAACACTGGACGAAACACCTGAAGATGGCGGCGCACGAGAGTTTGTTTCAACGGCGGAAGGATCTCATTCGGAAGACCGAGAGTTCGTTCCAATGGAGGAGGACATTGCAGCTTTCGAGGCAGCAGAAAAATCGTCGGGAGGAGGAGGAGGATTTATTTTGGAAGATCCAGAGGCTCGAGAGTTTGCTGCTCCGAGAGCACACGCATCAAGTGGAGGAGGATTTATTCTAGAGGACTCGGAAGATCTTCGTGGTCCTACAGAGGAGGACCTCGAAGCTTACGAAGCAGAAGAAATGGCCGAGATGGAAAGAGGTGGAGGATTCATCGCGGAAGATCAAGATGGAGAAGTTCGTCGCCAAGAGGAAAATCTGGAAGAGTTTTCTCTGGATCGTCCCGGAGCTCCGGAAGAAGAAGATCGTCGCGAGAAACAATGGAGAGACGAAAGAGATGGTGACGAAGAAAGGCGCGATCCGAGCTTGCTGGCCATTCCAAACTTTCGAAGAAAACGCAAAAGCAACGATTAGTTTTGCTTTAATGTGGCCATTTAATGAAGGGTTTAGGGCTCTCGCCTCTAGAGCAGAGGAGTTATGGCGACCTCGGCTTGGACGATGCCGCATTCTTCGTCCTCGTCGCTGCGATGCGTTGTCGATGGCCTCCATCCCAAGAACAAGGTACATAGATTAGGCGCTGCTCGCGGGAGGAGCTTAGTTTTGGCGAGAGCGCGAGAAGAGAGACGAGGGCTTCTCTGTGAGCAGTGGGGTGTTGGAAGCTCTGGCCGTGAGTCGAGGCCGTCGGAGGCTGGATCGCTCCTCTTGGAGCCCGCGGGAGTGTTGCTCCAGCAGCGCATTGTGTTCCTCGGATCGCAGGTAGCGAAAGTTCTTACAAATTTTCATTCTCTTTGGACGTTTCTTTTGTTTTTGTTCTTGAAGGTGGATGATGTTTCTGCCGATCTTATCATCAGCCAGTTGCTCCTTCTCGACGCTAAAGATCCAACCAAGGATATCAAAATGTTTATCAACTCGCCCGGTGGCTCAGTTTCAGCTGGTAAGCTGCAAGATTTTTTTTAAGAGAGTTTGGTTCTCCTTCCATCTTCTGGCCAGAGTTTTGGTTCTCTTTTTATCTTCTGGCTAAGCATTTGACAGCTTCCAGGGATGGGAATTTATGATGCTATGAAGCTCTGCCGTGCGGACGTCTCAACTATTTGTTTCGGGCTAGCAGCGTCGATGGGGGCTTTTCTGCTGGCTTCTGGAACAAAAGGAAAGAGATATTGCATGCCAAATGCTCGTGTCATGATCCATCAACCACTGGGAGGTGCCGGCGGTGTGGTAAGTAAAGCTTCCTTTCTCTTAATTTTGAGACTTTTTTTAGTCTTTTCGTCGCATGTCTGCTGAGACTTTATATTCGTGTCGCTTGTTAGGCAATCGACGTTGGGATACAAGTGAGAGAGATGATGTACCACAAAGCAAAGCTCAACAAAATCCTGTCTCGCCTAACTGGAAAGTCTGAAGAGCAGGTTGCTTTTATTAGACCTCTATTTGTTCAAATGCCTGAGACTGGAAGATTTTTATTTTGCAGATTGAAGCTGATACGGACAGAGACTACTTCATGAATGCGTGGGAAGCAGTCGACTACGGCCTGGTGGATGGTGTTATTGACGACGGAAAGCCGGGGCTTGTAGCACCAATTGGCGAAGCAAAAGAGCCTCCAAAGACTCGAGTGTCTGACTTCTGGACTATAAAGGATGGCAAAAAGAACAGGCCTTCAGAGGACACACAAGCGGCTTCCGAGAAAGAGAAAGCGGCTGTCTAGTCTAAGCTCGACGAAGGTATCTATCTATTCCTCTCTTTCACATTTTCGGCTCTTGGTCACCAAGTACTTTTGTCTAACATTCAGTTTGTAGGTAGGGGCGCTGGAAAGACCGTAAAGGACATCACCGTCTTCCAAGTTAATGGCCGTATGACAGCGTCACATGGTCCTTGAAGCATCTAATTAATTTTAAAAGCTGACGCTCTTAATTTTTGTACTATCGCTGGTATAGACGACGACGAGCTCATTCCACTGTCGAGGAAAGGGTGTTGGGATTGGGAGAGATACCAATCCGTCCCGCGAGTGATCCTCTAATAAGTCAATCCTCGGCTCTTCAATGTGATGTATTCTATTTCTTCATCTCTCTTTTCGTATCTCTTTGTCCTGTTTTTGTCAATGCTTTGCAGGGAATCCGCTCATCAAATGCATGTAACCTCTCGTTTTAGTGTCCGTCTTGTCTCTCAGAGACCATCCCCAGAGCTACTTGCGACTTTCGTTGGCTGTCTTTATAAATGCGACCATGTTGACCTCTTCAATTCTGTCACCAACTATAACTCGGAGAACGCAGCAGGATTATCCTCGTGACTAGCAGACGCTTCAAGCGGGCTTGTATTGTTCCAGCTTTCTCCCGCTTGAGAAAGCTGGCCGCCGAAGTTACACGACGAAAGATCACTGTTTCTTCCTTGGCGAGAATATGCGGCGCCATTTATTGGGAGTAAGCTAAGTCTGGATTTGGTTTTACTAATCACTGTGAAAACACTTATAAAGACGACAGGTGTGCTGTGCGTGAACAATCCTGGCAGTCCTTCCTTTGGGCATTTCTCTTTGCGGACTCTGTGGAGAGAGCAAGAGGAAAGCAACTTGGTATGGGTCCTCTTTGATCCTCTCTGGTATACTTGGGGCGGCTTATTCCTTCGTTTTGCTGCCTCCGAGCGCTACTACCAGCACACTCTATGGCTGCTGCAACGACTGCACCACTCTCGTCCTGGCCGTGGACGTTTCTCGGGAACTACAAGGTCCGTGCTTTAGTTTTTTGCCTTCTGCATTTTTATAGCGGTTGACTGAGTGATGATGGTTTTCTGTGCTTCTCTCTGCAGTATTGGATCTCGGTTCCCTTTGCGGCAAGAGCTCTGTATGCGAACTTCTACAATGCTGCTTACAAGGACACAGATAACTGGTGCTTGCACATTTTTGTTCTGTGCCTGATTCGGTACCAAACATTTTTCTATGCCTCCCTGTTTCAACACTTACATGGGGTAGTCAAGAAGCACCGGGTCAGCGCCTTCAAGATCACATTCGAGCAACTGGATAGAGAGTTCCACTGGTAAGTCAAGATGGCGCTTGGTGCTTTTCTGTGCTGATTGTTTTTTGCTTGTATCCAGGGACAATTTTATCATTCTCCAGGGGCTGATTGCATTAGCAGCGCATTCGTGGGTACCTGGCTTCAGCAATCTTCCCGTTTGGAACTACAGAGGATGGCTTTACGTTGTAATCTTCCACGCGTTGGTCACGGAGCCGTTGTACTACTGGATCCACCGCGCTTTCCACGATGGCCACCTGTTCAAAAATTACCATTCTTTGCACCACGCTTCTGTGAACCCGGAAGTCGCCACAAGTACGTGAATTGTCCTGGCTTTATCCGTAGTGACCACTTTTCTTTCAGCTGGTAACTCGACGTTCCTGGAGCACTTGGTACAGACTGGATTGATAGCTCTACCGCTGCTTGGAGCCGCTGTCATGGGAGCTGCGTCAATTTCTATGTTCTACTTCTACATCCTATCCTACGACGTGCTCAAGATGTATGGCCATTTCAACTGCGAAATTTTCCCGGAGTCACTTTTCCGAGCCTTTCCGCTGCTCAAGCTGGTGGTCTACACGCCGTCGTAAGTTTTCGCTACACCCTTTTTTATTTGGTGCCAAGCTGCATAAGAACTCCAATTTATGCATTTGTCGCGACGTGTTCTCTTTTTGCTTGATTCCGCTTTGCTTTTATGAAGTTTGGTGGGGGTGCGCCTTAACATCACTCCAGTTGCTGGAAGTCATCACGTGCTTTCATTTAGTGACCTTCATTGCATCCTTCTGGCGAGTTGCAAGCATATAGAATGCATTGGGCGGGCCTCGATTTGTTGAGACAGTAATTCTAATTCCCTTCGTGTTACTCTCTTTTCCAGGTATCATTCTCTTCACCACAGCAGTCTCAACTCAAACTTCTGCCTGTTCATGCCAGTTTATGATTATTTGGGGGGCACGATGCATCCCAAGACAGAGGCTCTCTACACGGCACTTCGTAAAGGTTGGTGTGTTTTTCTTATATTTGTTTTTGTCCACGGCGCCAAGATTTTTGAAAGTTTGTTTTCATTCCCAGGTCGGAAAGAGGAGGTTCCTCAGTTTATATTTTTGGCGCACATAATTGACTTCATGTCAACGATGCACACGTCGTTTATTTTCAGGTCTCTGGCTGCCGAGCCTTTCGGGCCGAGATGGTTTTTGTGGCCACCTCTGATATTGACAGTCCCACCCATGTTTGCAATGTGGGCCTGGGGGAGAACGATGGTCTACAGCGAGTACTTAGTTGGACGTGTCCATGCTCAAGTTAGAGTTATTCCTCGATATGGTTTCCATGTAAGCTTTTGAGTCCTCTTTGCAGTTTTTAGTGCTAATTGTTTTTTTTTTCTTCTAGTTTTTCTTGCCGTTTGGTAAGAAGAGTATCAATGGTTTCATTGAAGAAGCAATCCTGGAAGCCGATAGATCAGGTGTTAAGGTATTGAGCCTTGCTGCGCTTAACAAGGTATGATACGTCGTCTCTCTTCTTCAAGCATAGAAGCGTTGGTTTAATATATATTTGCAGAACGAGGAACTTAATGGAGGTGGTGTGCTCTTTTGGAAGAAATACACCAACCTGCGAGTAAAGATAGTCCACGGCAACACACTTACTGCTGCCGTGGTTATCAACGAGCTCCGACCGGATGCGAAGGAAGTGTTTTTGACAGGATCAACGTCTAAGATCGGTCGCGCACTAGCTCTTTACCTTTGCAGGCGAGGAGTTAGAGTTCTGGTACTGTGGCAATTCACGTTTCTTTGTGCTGAATTTCTCGTTGGCATTGCAGATGCTTACGAATTCGAGGGAGCGTTACGAAGCAGTTGTGAAAGATGCCCCTGTCGAGTTCCAAAAGAACTTGGTGCAAGTTACCAAGTATCAAGCGGGACAAAACTGCAAGGTACTTCCGTACTTCGTTTCTTCTTACGAGGCATTCTCATTCTTTTCTCAAACAGACGTGGATCGTAGGAAAGTGGATCTTTGCCAAGGACCAAAGCTGGGCTCCTCCTGGTACCTTTTTTCACCAATTTGTCGTGCCACCGGTAGCAGAAATCCGGAAAGACGTTACTTACGGGAAGCTCTCAGGAATGTACTTGCCGAAGAACCATGAAGGCTTGCATTTCTGCGAGGTAAGAGCTTTTTTTGTTGAATCATCTCATCATCTCATCATCTCATTGTGTGTGACAGTTTACAATGCCTCGAGGCGTGGTTCATGCATGCCATGCCGGAGGACTACTCCACGCGTTGGAAGGCTGGGACCATCACGAGATTGGTTCCATCGATATAGAAAACATTGACAAGGTGTGGCAAGCAGCGCTCAGGCAAGGTTTTGCTCCTTACGTATAGGAGAAAGAAAGAAAAACGAAAAGAAACAGAAAACGATTCATTGTGTCCGCCGCCCGCCGCCGCCGCCGCCGCCGCCGCTATCATCGCCGCCACCGCTACGATTTGCTCGAAAAAGAGAGTGTACATTTTAAACTTTCTTTCAAAGCAAAGAACGTTAATCAACACAATATCGTCCAGAAAGAATCAGCACTGCTAATTCTTCGATGGAAATCTTTAGAAGCTCCACATTAGCTCGACAAAACTCCTCCGGAAAACTCCACCATCTGGTGATATAGATCGATTGACATTAGAGTTCTTCTAAATCGCATAAAAGATGCAAACCTGTGGCGGAGGCAGTGACGAGACCCAGTCTGAGGCATGAGTAGGAAGAAGGCCCAGCGAGTTTAGCTGCAAGGAAAACATTTGATCCGATCTTTTGTCTAAAAACTTGTGGAAAAACTTACCTTCCAGAGTCCCATTCCAAGAGCCACCAAATTCATGGCGATGAACAAGAGCTTGGGCATTAGGACGTCCGTTCGAGCATCTTTGTATGGCTCGAAAACTGTGAAAGCAAAGAAAAGAGTCAGAAGAGAAATGGAGATGGCGATAGAAAACTTTGTGACAACCTTTCCCGATTCCTTGGAGAGCACTGATGGGCTGCCAGAGAGCCGAGAACGTAATGCCAATGCTGAACAAATGGACCGTGTTCCCAGCCATCCACATCATGAATCCCATCATGAAGAGATTCCGGAAAGGAGCTTGAGCGATTTCCCATGCTTTCTACACACACGAACACACAGTAAGATCACACACTAAGAACAAACAAAGAAAGAAAGCAAACAAAAACTCTAGCAGAAGAAAGAAGAGAAGAAATGTTACCTGTTGTTTCCACGATGCCTCGACCTTCTCCTTTTGCCTCGCAGCGCTAGCATCTTCCTGCGATCACGCCCCAAAATCCTTCTTTCAGGTCACACAAACCGCGAGATTTTTACACTCACAATCTCTGAAGAAGCGCCTCGGGAGTAGCCCGGCGGATCGGCGACTTCCCTGGACGACGCGCCATCGCCAAAATCAATCGCCCATTTCCGCGCCTTGCTGCCCCTCTCCATTGAGAGAGCTAGGGCAAATCGAAGAACTAGCCTAGAGTTTTGTGAAGTTTTAGGGGTTAGGGTTTTTTGGCCACCGGCGCGGCAATGGAGGATTCTCGTCCCGTGGAGGTCGCGACGCCGGCATCGAGCGATTCTACAGGTGCTCTGCTGCAAAATCTAGAGATTTCTGGGCAAGAGAAGCAGCAGCAGCAACCCGATGAGGCGGAGGCGAAGAATCGCAGGAGCAAGAACAAGAGCAAGAAGAAGAAGAAGAACTTCGTGCTGGAGCCTTCCTTTCCCTGGAAGGTAGCGACTGTGAAGAATCGAGGCCGCTGTGCCGTCGCGACGAGGTGAGTGGTTCTACGCATTTTTTCTATTTTCCTTTCGTTGTTTGTGAGTGAGTTTTTTTGGAACTCTGTCAGGGCGATCAAGGCTGGAGAGGTTGTCGTGGCGGAGCAGGCCATAGCATTTGTTCCTCGCGGGCAGTATCGCAAGGCAATCTGCCATGTCTGTGGCGTCAATGTTGCAGAGAATGGCCCAAAGTTCGAGTGCTCCGCGTGTAACTACACGATCTTCTGCGAGGTGAGCTTTTGATTCGCGATCGAGAGCCTTACATTTGTTTGTTTCAGGAGTGCTACAAGCCTCCACAGGGATCACACGAGAATTACTGCGCTGTGTATAGAGAGATCGCCAGCATTGCCAGAGACGAAAACTGCGATGCTGATCTTTTAAGGTTGGTTTTCAACCTTGCATTGAAAAAGGCTGGCACGGCTCAGGCAAGATCGTCTTTGCTACAGTTGGAACTTTTAATCGAGACTCTTCCATTTCAGAACTCGAAAGATGAAACTTGCACAGTAGACGGTGTGATACACTCTTGTTTCAAAGACGCTCTGGGCTTGGAAACTCACAGGAGCAAAGCACCATCGAGTTGGCTGGAGGCGGTCCGAAACGGATGCACCCGGCTGCACAAGATTGCTTGCGTGGGAAACGGTGGGAAACCAGCTCCTGTATCGTGCAGTATAGGTAAATCGTTTCGCATTCTCTATTCAATGCCTAACAGTTACGTTTCTTTCAACCACAGAAGAATTGGAAATGCTGGCCACTCTGATCAACACCAATTCTCATGGTATGGGTGCACAGAATCTACAAAACACGCATGTGGCCCTCGGCCTATTTCCATATGTTTCTATTCTTAACCACTCTTGCCGGTAAGCTCTTATTTTTATGAATTTTTTTTGGACTGAAACTGATGGTAATTTGTAGGCCAAACTGCTGTTTTGCTTCGGAAGGTTCTGTGATGTACGTGCGAGCAGTCCAAGATATTCCGAAGGGAGCTGAGGTGATCGCCGTTTTTATTCTGCGTTCATTTGGTCTAATCTAGTGCAGCAGCTTTGTCTTTCATACATTAACTTATATGAGTCCCGCCGAGTACGCAAAACACTGTTGGTGGCAACAAAGCATTTCGACTGTACTTGTGACCGCTGCGTAGAGCCTCTGAACACATCCATTGACAGATTTCTTGAGGTAAGCCTGGAATTTAAAATCCTTGTTTGCTGAAGATTATCCTGGCAGGGCTGTGTCTGCCATGTTAGAGGCTGCGGGGGAGTTTTTCTCAGAACGGCAGCTTTGCATGAAGATCAAGCGTCGTCAACTACATGGGAATGTGATTTGTGTTCGCGGATCCTGGATCCAGAGTCTATGAGGTTCAAGGATCCTCCTTGGGAAGTGATTGCCAAAGCCGAGGAGAGGCTTGTGGCTGCGGTTCGTATTTACAGCGAACGACGCTTCAAGGAGGCCCGGAAATTACTGGAAAGCTATCTATCTGAGTTCACGGGAAAGCTGGTATGGTGTTCATAAATCTTCGCAAACATAACTGCATTTTCTTTTCAGCACCCTCTTCACGTGTTCCTCTTCGATGCTTTGACTCCACTTATGAACTGCTGCCGAGCGATGGGAGATGCTGAGGAAGGACTGCGCGTTTGTCGTCTCATATTGCAGTGCATGGAAAAGGTCCTACCAGGTCCATCACTCGAGCTTGCGAACTTTTACTTTTGCCTGGGCGAAATGTACCTCGAGAAAGCACAGGCTTCGTCTCCAGTTATTGCAAAGAGATCAAACAAGCAGGTAAATGGCTTTCGCTTTTATGTGGAGTCTACAATGTTTATTGGAATGCAGGCTCAGGAAGCTTTTCAACGTGTGAAGAGCATCAGAGGCGTCTGTCTAGGAAAACCAAGTTTGCCTTCGTGAAGCGTAAGAAGATAGTATCGACGGTGTTCTTTTCGGCAGAATTTTTATATATGTTTCTTTCTTCTAATTCCCTGTTTTCGCAACGCTGCTGAAGCATCAACGAGTGGGTCCCGAAATTGATGAGCAGCTATTTGTCTAGTTGTGCAGGCATAAACAATAGCGATCGTGAAAGTGATGAGACAGGCCTCTTATCTTAAGTTTAATCATTTCAAGATGCAAAGAGCCAGCTTTGGATTGGTAAGTTCATCATTTTCTTTCGAAAGTGACTCAAACTGAGACCGTGTTTCGCAGATTGGAGGCAAGTTGCCGGAAGTGCAAGACTTTAAGCTTAGAGCCGACATGCTGCGTATACGTAGTATGCAAGTGGAGAACATTGTTGGTGGTAAGGCACTCGTCTTTGAGTGCCAGTTAAGCTTTGAAATCGCGTGCACAGCTTTTTAAACTTTGTGGAGAAAAAAGGAGGAGCATTAGAGATGTCGACCACTGTCTGTTTCTGAGGTACTAAGAAAAGCAAATTGTTTTTACAAAAGCTCGTGCTGACCAGATGTTCCACTTCCAGGTCTGCGGAAGATCTTCTTTTTGGCTCGCAGCCGGAATCGAATAGGTACTCCTTTTTTTTTTTCTCTCTCCAGCTGGAAGCTACTGACCAGAAGTGACGGATCCTTCTTCGTGTTCGTCTTCTTCTGGTGAAGAAAGCGCTGTTGGTTATACAGAACTGGCTGACACCTTGTATACACCACGCAACTGTCATTTCGCCCAGTCTTTGCTTCCTTCCTCCGTCGCGGATTCGGTTCTGCCTTGTTGGAACTCGATACATCCAACGAAGAAACTTGCAAGGTACGAAGACTTTCACTCCACCAGCACCAGGATTGAGTTGTAGCTGCCTTGCAGATCCGATGACTCCCCGACAACCGAGACCGCGTAAGACGCCGCTGACGACGTAGATGAGAACGAACACGACGCGGAAGGCGGCAGTGCTAGCAGAGGCGACGATGGCGAGGGCCTACCGAGCATTCGTCTCAAGTTCCTCCACCGGCGCTTGGCCGACAGAGACCCGCCAGCCGAGGAAGAAGTCGACGGAGAACTAGACAGCGACTTGGAGGTGGCATTCTCGTCTAGATCCAAAACCAGTTGGACCACCTGAACCGATTGCTGCGGCTGGTGCTGGGAATCACTATCGCCCGACGTAGAACTCGACGAGGAAGAGGAGCTAGAAGACGATGGCGATGGTGTCGACGACGACGATGAAGAAACTAGATCCGTGGAAGAAGGCGTTGGCGGAGAAGTGGTGGTGGCGACGAGATTTAGATCCGGAAGAAGCAGCAGCTCTGGGACGATGCTCTTGGGACATCCAGCGGAGTTGGAGCCGGACAGGAGGCTGGCACGGCACAGGGGACAAGTGGAGTGGCAATGCAGCCACATATCTATACACTCGGTGTGGAAGCTATGGCCGCATTTGGGGAGAGTCCGGCCGTGATCGCCCTCCTGGAACTCGCACAGGCAGACCGCGCAGCAATCGAGCTTGATCTTGTCGCTCTCGCGGAAGACGAAGAGGGGGAGCGACTGGATGATGGACTTGTCCACGCCCAGCGCCGGGGAATTGGAGAAGAAGAGAGGGTCCGCGGCCGCCGCCGCCTGGATCTGCTGCTGGATGGCTTGGATCTGCTGGAGGTGGAGGAGGCGGCGGCGGCGCGCGGCGAATTGGGAGCTCTTCCAGAACCACTTGGCGTAGAGGTGGAGCGAGAGGATGAAGAGGATGACCGAGAAGAGGACGACAATGGCGGCAATCATGATCTTGATGTTCACCTGGTAGGGATTGGAGTCGCTGCTGCTGGCGATGGCGCTGGAGCTGCTGCCGCTGGGATCCATTGGCGATTCAACGCCCATTTCTCTCTCCCTCTCGATCGATCGACCGCCAAATGGGAGAAATGGAAGAATGAGAGGGATTGGGAGAAAGGAGTCGACCTAAAATGTCACGACACAGAGCATTGGGCCAAAATTGTCAACTGGCATTTCCAAGGTCTCTCTCTCGTCCAAGTGTGTTGATTTCTTCGTCGCGGTGACGGGCGGCCCTTCCAATGGCCGGCTCGTCTCGCCTATCTCGCCCGTCGCGCCATCCACCTGACGGGCCCCGACGAGTCAACATTTCACCGTACGCGCGTGGTTCCCCTGGTGGCCCGGTGGAAAGAGCGCTGGGGTTTTAAAGGCCCACCGAATCGGCGGGAATATGCCCGCGGCACGACGGGCACGTGGACGGGGAAAGCGACGGGCCACACGCGTCCGTACAGGTGGTCAGGCCGTCACACACGAAAGGCGGGTGAAACAGTCAACATGCAGTTAATGTTATTCCTTCCTGGGGGGTGGAATTTGTAAAAATGGGTGGGTAACTAGTCAACGTGGAAGATTGTAGTAGTATAGAGCTGTGTCAGTGAAATAATGTTGGGGTACCATATAGCAAGAAAATGGGACCATGGCTTTTATTTCTATTCCATTCACTGATATGGTTCCACAACGTCTCAGTAGCAGCGCTATATTTCATGAAATCTATCAGGGCGAAAGGCCGACAACAGGGAAGACTTTATGATCAAAGAGATAAGATCTGGAAACCAACGAAACAAAGCAAGCGAGAGAAGCGTTTTAGTCAACAGAAAGAAAAAAATCACGTACTAGTTTGCGCTCCATTTTTTCCTGATCCGCTGGCTTTACCGATCCATCCAGATCGCCGGCAGGAACTTTTTTCTTCGATCGATATATACGCACACTTTCGTTGTGCACTGCTCGTTTCCATCCATGGCGAATCTCTCTGTCCATGCCACAACGTGGTGGAGCATGGGGATGCTTTATGCTGCAGCTTTGGCCCAGTCCACCACCAGGCAATTGTTTGAGTAGCTTCCTGGAGAAGAGAGGTGACCAAAAGATTTAAGAAACTACTTACTTTGCTCTTGCTCCATCAGTCTTCTGCATTTCTGGAAAGAGAGATAGCATGAAGACTTCGATTCAAACAAACAACTTACTTTACTGAGATCGCTTCACGCAAGGAACCGCACGGAGTGTTCTTTTCGCGAGACTTGGAACACGGCTCTACATTGACCAGCATCAAAAAACATTATAATGTCACAAGACACCGCTCATTGGCGCTTGCTCGCTTGCCTTGGTCGGTCGTGAAATCAACCCGGGAGCGGGAGAGAGGATGCAAGGTTCACCATTTCACTGCTCCATGCCACTTTTCTAGCGTCGTTTAATTCTTTCACTGTAGGCAAAAATGGACGAAAAAGGATAAACATTAGAGCCCGACCCCTATTAAAAGCAGCCATTTACCGTCCAAGTGGATGGAAATAGTCATTTTGTCTGAAACTCTCGGTCCCGATGCCTTCCTCAACATGAGGAATATATTCCATGTGGAATAATGAGCACTCAAGGGCCCAATATTCGCTTTGGCAGCACCTGTCATATAACACTTGGTGAGCCAGAGAATCAAGGGATATATAAGTGTATGAAGAAAAACAAGCAGGAAGGAGGAGGAGAAGGAGAAGAGCCATCCATCCTTACCTCCGACTAACGTCCAATGCAGGGAGCCAAGCCACCCAGTCGGCAATTTGGCTTCGCGTTGCTTTTCCGTTGGCCTCACTGCTGGCGCTGCTTTTCGTGATCCACCAGCTGCCTCACAAGGTGCTCCTCCGCACATTGATACTGCAGATCCTCCGAACTTAGTGTTGTTTTGAATCAATTGTCTTTTGTGTTTTCGCTTGATTACCTGTTGCTCGGGGACTGTCCTGTCCCCCCCGTTCTGCCTTTTCAGCATTTTCTTCTTCTTTCTTCTCTCTTTCCTTTCCTTAGCTTCTCTTTTCCTGCTTCTGCTCCAGCTGCTGCTCAGATATTCCTCCCATATATTCGTGCTTCTCCAGTGCCTTTGGGGCCGAGAGAGAGAGAAAGAGAGAGAGAGCAAGGCGGGCGGAGCAGCCGCAAATGGCAGCAGCAGCTGCTGTTGCTGCTGCTGGAGCTGCATGGAAGGCAGCCTTCCTTGCCTCCTCCTCCTCTTCCTCTTCCTTGTTCTGGTCCAGCTGCAGGACGCCGCATGTAAGTCGTGGTGTTGTATCACAGAAACTAGAAGCGAGAGGTAAGGAGACCAAGCTACTCACTCCTGTGATGACTCCTGTGGCTAACTGCTTGTCGGGTGGATCCTTATTTTGTTCCCAGGCCGCGATGATGCTTCCAAAACTACGCCTTCACTGCGTGCAGTGCCGACCGCATCAGTTCCAGGTATAAAAGAGAACTAACTCACCCGGTTGTGAGCTTGCTGCTAACTTAACACTGTCTCCAGTTTCATCTCGCGTGCAAACTCCCGGGCGGAAACTTCCAACACCTCGGCAAGTCCCAGAAGTATGTTCTGCAAGATCCCGTAAGGCCGGAGGTCCTGATCGGAATTCTTCTTCGTTTGCAGACAATTCCAGCGACTGATGGCGGACGAATGTGGGAACTCGTCGAAACCGTAAGAAGCATGTTGAACTCTCTGCACGACGGGGAGATATCCGTGTCAGCCTACGATACGGCTTGGGTGGCACGAGTACCCGCTTTGGATGGCAGCAACAAGCCTCAATTTCCCATGTGCCTAAACTGGATCATGAACAATCAGCTCGAGGATGGATCCTGGGGTGATAGAGACTTGTTTCTTACGTATGATCGCATCTGTTCGGCACTGGCATGTGCAATAGCTCTCAAAACCTGGAACACCGGAGACAAGATTGTTCACAAAGGTAAGTAATCACTTTCAGAAGAAACACAAAGACCAACCATCTCATTCTCATTCAGCCCTCGAGTTTATTCGAAAAACTATGCCTAAGATGGAGTTGGAGGACAGTACTCACATGCCAATAGGATTTGAAATTGTGTTTCCGGCAATGATAGAGGAGGCCATGGCACTCGAGCTTGACATCGACTATAGAGAGCCCGTGCTCCAAACAATTTATGCTGAAAGGAAGAAGAAACTTGAAAGGTTAGACATAGAAAATGTTCCGAGACAACTTTACTGACGTGATACCCGCACGCAGAATACCCATGAATGTGGTCCAGAACTATCCGACCACTCTCCTGCATTCGTTGGAAGGACTTCATAAGACTATAGACTGGGACAAGGTCATAAAACTGCAGTCACCAGATGGTTCACTGCTCTTCAGCCCCGCCTCCACAGCATGCGCACTGATGCATACGGGAAACGAGAAATGCCTGCAGTACCTGAACAACCTCGTCAAGAGATTCAACTGCGCAGGTAAAGGAATGGTGAAACTTTACCTCCGAGAACTCCTGACGTAAAAACTCTTGTTTCTTGACAGTACCAAATGTATACCCAGTGGATCTGTTTGAGCATCTCTGGATAGTTGACCGCTTACAACGCCTGGGAATCTCTCGCTACTTCACTCAAGAGATTAAATCAGCTCTTGACTACGTGTACAGGTGTGTATGCGTAGTACCACCTATGACAAACACACAACGTGAGAACTTGTAACAGATACTGGACAGACAAAGGAATAGCATGGGCCAGAGGTTCACCTGTTCAAGACGCTGACGATACTTCCATGGCCTTCCGGCTCTTGCGAAGTCACGGATACGACATATCACCAGGTACTCTCCAAGTCATACCCGCTTCTTTCATCACTTATCATATCGTACAACACAGACGCCTTTAAAACCTTCCAAGAGGGCGATTCCTTCGTCTGCTTCAGCGGGCAAGCGGGTCAAGCAGTGACAGGAATGTACAACTTGTACCGGGCTTCTCAAGTGATGTTTCCTGGCGAAACAATCCTGGAAGAAGCAGGCTCATTTGCCAGAAAGTTTCTCGAAGGAAAACGCCAGGAGAATCAGCTGTACGACAAGTGGATTATCTCTAAAGATCTGCCAGGAGAGGTATGAGCTATAGCATGTCACAAAACAAAACTGACCTGTGAACACTTTACAGGTCGAGTTTGCGCTCGACAACCCAATGCATGCTAGATTAGAAAGACTGGCAACAAGAAGATATATCGATCAGTACGCGGCTGACGATGTCTGGATCGGGAAGAGCCTCTACAGGTGAGAATCCTTTCACGGAAATCAACGCTGCCAGCTAACTCCTGTATCTGATACAGAATGCCCTTCGTCAACAATCCAATTTTCCTAGAGCTCGCGAAGGCAGACTTCAACATGTGTCGGGCTCTGCACAGAAAAGAATTTCAGCAACTTGAAAGGTGATGAAAGTATATATGTAAACAAGACATACTCACCCGAATCCATCACAGGTGGTACGACGAGAGCAGCCTGTCAATGTTCAAAGGATTCTCCCGCAGCAAACTGGAGCAAACGTTCTATTCAGCTGCTGCAACCATCTTCGAGCCGGAGCTCTCACCAGCAAGGCTTATATGGTCGCAATGCTGGTTCATATCACTCGGTATTAATGAATACTTTGACCACCAAGGGTCCACCAAAGAACTTGAGGATCTCATAAACAATGTCGAGAGGTAATTCACGCCACAAATTCAATGCCACTCGAGCTCTGACAGCTGATGCACAGGTGGAACGTGAACTCGCTTGGAAACTGCTCGGCCGAAGTGAAAATACTGTTCGTCGAGCTCTATAACATCGTTCAAAACCATAGCAAGCAGGGCTTCTTGTACCAAGGCCGGAGTATAGGAGGAGCGCTGCGAGAAATCGTAAGTGTTTTCGGTGAGAAGCGTTGATAAATCTGATCGATATTTGCTTTGGCAGTGGAAAACGTGGCTATCGAGCCTACTGCAGAGAACCAAGTGGAAAATGTCAGACAACAATCCAACTTTGGAGGAATATCTAAAGGCCTCACATTCAAGCATCGAGCCTGCTGTCCGGAGCACTATGTACTTCGTCGGCGAAACGCTCGCCACCACCGGAGACATAAAAGACTCGGCCATTTGCCAAATGATGAACACTGCTTCACGCCTGGTACAAGATACACACACGGACAAGGTAAACCCGAAGAAATAGACGAAATAGGAAATCCCTTACCACCATTCGAGCTTTTCCAGGTGGATTCAAGCCTCAACAGTATCACCATCTACCTTGAAGAGAATCCTCAATTAACTAAAAGTGAAGCACTAAGTGAGGTCCAAGCACTTGCGAACAAGAACATGCAGAAGCTTCTGTACGAGACTCTGCAGCCCGGCGCGCTGCCACAAGCTTGCAAGCAGCTCTTTCTCAATGCGGCCAGAATTATGAACGTCTTTCCAGGTACCAATAAAGTACAGGCCAAACTCTCCAACCATGTCAAGAGAGTACTTTCCCAGCCCGTGCTGTAAATAGCTAACAGCCTGACCGAGGAACATTTGGTGGACTACGCAGCCAAGTTCGCGCTAATGTAGCTGTAGAGCAACCATAGAAGAAGCCCAAGTATGCCTTCGGCAATAATGCCTCTGTAAATTCTGAAGGGATCTGCTATCGAGTCTTCAGTTTTACCGACCAGGTCCCGGAAACTCAAGTGTTCCTGACTGTGAAGGAGAGCGTAAACTACTCCGGAGAGATGACCCCTTCCAATAACTCCAACCACAGTCTTGCAGCCCGTAACTGCTTTGCTGCGCTTCAAAGACCACGCCATATACTGTACAACAAAGCTAAGTGTCAAACGATTACATCAAAGGAAAGTGACTATTCTAAAAGAAAGCGCACCAGATCGCGCTCCCAAACGAGGTGTCTTAATAGAGAAGGAAACTGAGAGCTCATAAATGAATACATGCTTGAAATCACATCGTCGGACTTCATCGACTGCATTAACAAAGTCAGAAACAGTAAATTATAATCCAAAAAACAAATTCACCTGCAACGCTGCTTCTGATGCGTCAACATTGGCAAACAGGAAAGTCTGCAAGAACGTGTTAGCAAGACGCAGACGCTCCTTCCACGTCAAAGCGCGCCATGCCCGATTCAACTACAGAAACTACACAAAACATTAACAAGCAGCTCCCGGCAAAACTACACTTACAGTGATTTCAATAGGCCGATCACCCAAAACAAGCTGAGCTTCAACTTCTTTCGCTGCTCTTCTTGCAGCCCTGAACTGTAAGCAGCAATCGCCATGAATATCCAGCTTTTACGTCAATGAACTGTCTTACCTCTTCGCCAACTGGCACAGCCGCAGACTTAGAAATCTTTTCTGAAACACTGGCAAGCAGCAATCTCAGAAAAAATGCTGATCTCCCACCTGAGAAAAAAAAAAATGAAATCGAATGGAAGCTATATTTTAAATAAAAGATAGATTACCGAGATTAAAACTACGAGCCAAAGCTGCATTGCGATCCGTGCCTGTCAACGATAAGAAATTCGCGGTGGAATTCGCCATTGACGGATCCAAATACATAATTCCAATCCTGCGGCATCCAAAATCCTCACCCATTGTTTACTAGAGATAGAGTGCTACATGCTTACCTGCTTTTGCAGAGCTCCACAACGACATTATCGGGACGGATTGTCTTGATCGCGCGCTCGACCTGTTGCGCCGAAACCTGGGACACATGAGCAGTCCCGACGAGAATCACCAGCTCCGGCTCATCATTTTCACCCGCATTCACGTTCCTCACCGCCACGAGTGATCTCTCGCGCACAATATCAATCAGCTGAGGCCATCGCGTCGCCACGATCTCGTCAGTGTCCATCGACACCGCTTCCCTGTAGCTGAAATCATCCGGCGGACCCGAGCACGATTTCGACAATGCGCGGAGTGGAATCCCCGATAGCGCCCTGCTTCTTGGCGCTAGAACCCTGTGATCATCGCAGAAACCCTACAATGACCTGTCCCACGTAAGTCGTACGGACGGTCGTGGCCGACTTATGACTCGGCAGGGAGATCTGACGTGGCGGGGAGGAGTTTGTTACAGAGGATTAGCGGGGACTTCTTGGGATGCAATAGGGCAGCGATAAAGGACGTGGCAGAAGCTAGGGCTAGGTGGAGGATTGGCTTGGGAATGGCACAACGAGCAAGGGCGATCAAGATCTGAGCACAGTAAGGGCTTTGGCCTGGTGTGGACTCCACCTCGCCCGGGCTTACGCCCATTTTAGAACTGCTACATGCCCACACGCGGACAGTTAGTTGGTACAATAGTTGGGACTACAGGTGCAGAGGTCTTGCAATCAATGATCCCATGGCTTACTGAGTCTTGGAGACAAAACACGATGTTTGACAAATGCTTGAGTGATAGCTCACTTAAGTCGTCTCCCTCGTCTCCTCCAGCTACAAAGGATCCTTCGACTCCACCTTCCGGCTCTAGCGAGTCCTTGCAACTGGTGGCTGATTACTTTGCCAAAGATTCGGATACTAAATCTGAAAGCTGCAAAAGTTGCTCAAAGTACGATGCCGCTCAAGACTGCTGCATGAGAAGTGACGAGAAGGACAAACCCCAAAAACTTGAAGCGGAAAGTTCAAACCAAGATGGCAGTACATCTTTAGAATGAACCAGAAGGAACTAGAGGCTGCCATCCGTACGGTTTTTAGTGACAGTTCCCTGGATCCTCGGAGGAAAACGTACCTTATATGAAATTTGATGAGCAGGTTAGCTCCTCCTCTCAAGTTTTATGTAGCTTGCCCGCTGATTGTCACCATTTCTAATACTTTCTTTCCTTTTCAGGATTGCGGCTCAGCAGCATTCTTTACAAGAAACAGATACGTCTGAAGACATTCCTGGGCGCAACCTGTCCTATCATGATCCCGTCAGAGGTTTATATGGTTGTGAGCACACTTCAAGAATCGGGCCGCTTGCCGGTTTTGTCATGACCGAGCGAGTGACCATCCCATGAACAGGTACTCTTGTGCTGTTTCGGTTATCAAGCAGATACTCAGCGGTCTCTTGTTTTTTAGTAGCAGGCATGAAACGAAGGAAATGGTGTGTATGCAGTGCCTCGAAGTGCAACCAGTCGCAGGATCCTGTCACAATCCTGAATGCTCCGACTTCAGAATGGCCAGGTATTACTGCAACATTTGCAACTGTCGTTCGTCGATAATGGCAGCCTCCAGCCTGACGAGCTTTTTGCAAGCTTGGTTTCGGAAAGCCAGCCGGATGAAATTGAATGGGAGGACGCTTACACCGAAAGTGATGCACGCTTATCTTCCGCCAGAGAAGCTCAAGATGAAGCAGGATCTGGCAGTCTTTCTTCTTTTCAAAGAAATTACGTGATTGCTGAGAGAGGGCAACCTTGAGGTTGATGAGACGTTTCAAACTTTGGCTCGTGGTCAAGAGGACGAAGAAATCGACTGGGAAGACGACGGTCACGCGGTGGTGTCAGTCAGTGAACCTGATGCTCGGAAACAGTGTAAGATGATCGGTATTGGAGATTCTGCTTTGAAAACGACTGGTGTTATGAAATTATGGAACGTTGAACATTGAACATGGAGTATGCGCTCAGATTGAAAGAAGCAATCCGTCGAAGGCTAGTGGACTTTGGCCTTCAGAAAGCTTTTAAGCCTCTTACCATACAAGAGCCAGACTCTGTGAAGCATGGCGCAGTTCAGGACAAAGAAGAATCTGAGCACTCACGTAAAGGAAAGGCAGTGCTCGACCACACAATTGAAAAACAAGCTAATGAGTCCATGATTTGGATCGAAGCAGGAAGGCAACGACGATAACAGAGGATGAAGAACGGTTTCTCGATGCTGAGGACAGAGCTGCTCAGCAACGGATCAACGAGGAAAGGGAAAACTTGCTACAAGAAGAAGCGGAGCTTCGAGCAGAGAAAAAGAGAAACGAACGTAATGCAGAGACGGTTACAAATGAAATGTTTGCCGAGTGCCAGGTAGCTTGTTTCATATGGGAACTATTACGTAGGAACTACTTCCAACTGTTTGGGATCCTGTATGTGGTAGCACCCATGGAAGCTGAAGCACAATGTGCCTTCATGGATGCAGAAGATCTCGTCGATGGTGTGATTACTGATGATTCGGACGTGTTTCTTTTTGGAGGTGTCTACCAAAACATATTCAATGGCCACAAATACGTCGAAACTTACTAAGCTGTCCATTTACTTATTTTTGTGACTCGTTTACTTTTATAGGATGCGGAGTCTGATCTCGGTTTGAATCAAGATAAGTTGATACGGATGGCCATGCTACATGGCAGTGATTATACCCAAGGAATAAGGTAATATCAATCCGTCAAGTAGTTTTTCTCTTGCGTCAACATTTCTCTGTTTCAGTGGTATAGGAATTGTGAATACTATCGAGGTTGTGAATGCCTTTCCTGGAGAGGATGGGCTGCAAAAGCTTAGAGACTGGATAGAGTCTCCGGACCTTATGCTCCTTGACAAGGGCGGCTTGTATCTCGGAAAACGACCAAGAAATAGCCAGCCACCACCATCGAGGCTGTTGGGCAAAACTCCAGGAGAATTATGCTTTTTCTGAACCTGTTCCCGGATGTTCGAAGTGAAAGTGCATCTCCATGTGTTTTGTCCTTGAGTGGAACTTGGCGTTCTTGGTGAATGCTATCGTGGACATATTGTCACACCACAGCTTGACTGAGCGCGATGTCACTCCCATGTCCCTGGAGCCGTATCACCTCCTTTGCAGCAGCAGCAGCCACGTTCTCTGCCTCTGTGCTGGACATGGCTGTGATTGATTGCCTCTTGCTGCACCAGTTGATCACTTTGCCAGCGAAGAGAAACACGTAGCTGGATGTAGAATGTCGGTCATTAGCATCTCCTCCCCAGTCTGCATCAGTATACCCGGAGCTTGTTGAGCTCTCGCCTCTGGAATATCGCAGAGATAAGTTTCTAGTTCCAACCGCATGATCCACTTAGTCGTTGCCCAGAAATCTGGTGTTGGATGGTCTGCCCACAAAGAAATGAAAAGCAAGATTAGGTCATCTTGAAACCACCAGATAGATTAAACTCCCGACAATCTCGCTGGAGCATCTGGAGTGGACATCTGTTATGTACTTCCAGAATCCCGCGTGTCTCTACAAACTTCGATGCCCAAACAGTAGTGTCCCAGATCAGTCGTGAGAAGAGAGACTTCTTGATCTGGTTGAGAAGACGAAGCTGGTTGGAGGCGAGTATGGTAACATCTAGGAAAGAAAGCCACAGCCCTGCTTGTATATGTAGAGATTTGTGTCTGCTGTGCTACACACGAAGCCAAGTGAAATAATTGATTTTGTTGTACTGCATGCGAGGCGATGCTCTTGGCCAGTGCACGCAAAGCGTGGAGGTTGAGCGACGTAGACATCTTCTTGGAGGTCGCTATTGACGAACGTGGTTCTCATGTCGAGCTGATGAAGCTCTAGGTTTAGCTCTATAGCCAAGGTTAAGAGCAAACGAATGATAGTGAGTTTTACCACTGGACTATATGTTTCGGTATTATGAACTTGAGAGAAACCGTTAGCTACAAAGCGTGCTTTGTAACGTTCCACTGTGCCATCAACTTTTTACTTGCGTTTAAACAGCCACTTGGCTGAAACAAGCTTGCGACTTGAAGGAAGAGGAACTAGTATCCAGGTCTGATTCTTCTGGGGTGAATCATACTCCTCTTGCATTGCCTGCTGCCAAGCTTCTGCCTCAATATTGTGGAGTGTCAAGCACAGCATGCATGGCCCAGTAGAAAGGACCACGACGAGTAGTGCGAGTTGGAGCCGTGGCTTTTGCTTCTTGAGCTTTGATAGAGAGCTCGATCGTTTGTTTAGAGCGTGTTGTAGTCCACTGGTTGCTAACGGGAGAGGAGGATCAAAGGTGTGAAGCCTGTAGGCCTTCATCTGGTCATGGTGCCCCAAGAAGAAACATTTCTCGCTCTTGGGATCGAGTTTCTTCTTGCGTGCATAAGGAATATGGGTAGTTTGGCACTTCATAAAGCCGGTTGCAGAGATACACGGCTGTATTGAGCGCTTCTCCCCCAAAACGCGTGAGGAAGTCTAGAGTGTTGCAGCATACAGCATATGCTCTCTACAAGAGTTCTGTTGGCGCTTTCAGCAACGCGATTTTTCTGAGAGCTTTAAGTAGTAGAGTATTGATAGAGAATACCAGCATCTTGGAGAAACTGGTGGAATTCATTGGAGATGAATTCCCCTCCACCATCTGTGCAATATACCTTATCTTCTTGCATATGGCAGTCTGTGCCCAGGTCTTGTAGGCTTTGAAGTGTGTCAACACTTCAGCAAGAAGCACCACCACAATGTAACGAGTAGAATTGTCAATAAAAGATACAAAATACCTCTAATGGCTCCAAGGTCCACTGGTAGATAGCAAATGTCACTGTGAATGAGATCCAATTTCCTTGAAGCACCATCGTCTTGTGATCATCAAGGAAATTCCCCAGTTTGCATGCGTCACAAATCCCGAGTCGTCCAAAGGGAAGAGTGAAGCCTTCAACAAAATTGCGGGCGAGCAATAAGGTTCCTGCTTGTTGACATGCCCAAGCCGAGCGCGCCAAAGACAGATAGGTGAAGGGTCACAAAAGACAAGAAGCTGCCTCTCGGAAGCTGAAGGAAACACTGATTCTGTATTAAGGCAGTAGAGTGTCATACCAGATGCCATCAGCCACTGGATCACCATCTGGTCCAAAGATAGTGCACCCAGAATGCACAATATAGCACCCTTTTTTATTTAGGGTCATTTGCTTATACCTCATTAATATAAATTAAAGATTGTTCTAGTATATTATTTTAATTATTTTTAAGTATTTTAAAGTACAAAATCAAATATCTGATTGTATATCTTAATATGACTACATAGAATATTAAATATATGAGGTCCAAATGTATGGCTATGATGCCGTATATTAATATTAGCGTAGTGGCCATTGAATTGATTTCACTCCTATATATAAATCAAGGGTTAATTAATATGCATATATTTTATATTTCATTTCTATATTCCATGCACTCACATTGGTGGAGATGAAAGGCATTTTTGATTGTCCATAAAGAATGCTTGGATTTGGGATTTTGGTTTTGATCTAACTTTTGCATTATCTAGATCTCCCTTTCCTTTTAGTTTTTTTTTTTTTTTTTTTTTGCTCTTTCCTTTTCATTCATCTTTATGGCAGAGTAGTAGTCTCCTTCTATGACTTTGGAGCAG